GGGAGGGGGGGAGGGGTCGGGGTGCCGCCGTGGGTGGAGGGGGCTGGAGGGTTGCCGCCGTGGGTGGGGGGAGGCCGGGGGGGGTTGGGAGTCGTCTGCAATGCGAGTGGGCAGGGGTAGAGCGGGGGATCCGTCCTGCGGTGATGTGTCAGGTGTAGTCAACCGTGGTCGCTTCATGCCGAAGTCCAGGAGGGAGGCCTGAGATGGATTGGCTGGGCGTTTGTTGGATGAGGTGGGTGTGGGGGGAGGGGGGGGGATGAAGCCTGCTGGGCGAGTTGGTTGTGTGCGTCAGCAAGCTGTTGCTGAAGCTGGAGTATGGTGGCCGCGGAGGCCGGGTCGGCCGTAGTGGTGGGTCGGAGGGAGATGAGGAAGTCGAAGATCTTGCTGGTGAGGAGCTTCATGGCTGCTGGTTTGGTGGTCGAGGCGCCCTCCTGCGTGGCTACATGGAGGGCGAGGGCGTCCAGGTCGAGGTGCCGTTGTCGGATTTGGCTGAGTAGTCCAGCAGCAAACACTGATTCCGGCATCGACTTTGCGACAACGTTGCGGACTTCGCCTCCGTGGGCGAGGTGACGCAACCACCAACTGTTCCACTGTTCGTGCATGAAGTGGAGGAGGGGGACGCGAGCGATGTCTTGTCCCTCGATGCCCATTTGCCGAGTAAACGCGGTGTGCGTTATGCCCTTGGGCAGGTCGTACCCCGCGACGCGGGTGGTGTCGTAGTGATCGTCGCCAGGGTTGAACTCGGTTGGTGTTGGGACTGAGTGGATGGGTCGAAGGGCCGGGGGAGGTTTGGATTGCGAGGCGGTGGAGGGGGAGGGGGAAGGGGGAGGGCGGGAGAAGGGGCCGGGGGGAGGGGGGGAAAGGGGTTGCCGCCGGGAGGGGGGGGGAGAGAGCCGCCAAAGGAGGGTGGACGAGGGCCGGGGTGTGGTGGGTAACGGGGAATAGGTTGGCCGTAGGTCTGACAGGGAGTCGGATGTGTAGCTAGCGGTGCCGATGCCGTGGAAGAGCATCCGTAGGAAGGCCCGGACAGGGCCCCGCACGGGTTCCCGGCCATGTTGTTGCCGTACACGATGCCATGATGATGGGATGCCGTGGGCGAAGGCTGCGGTGGTAAGTTTTGCCTTTGGAGCGCCGGAACCAAACCTCGAGGGGGTTGGAAAGCCATGAGAAAACACGGGGGAAAAGGAAATGTTCGAACCAAAAGCTGGTGAGCGGAATCAAGCGGGTAAGGTCACAAGGCGAGAGAACGGTCGCGGAAAGGCAGAACAGCAAAGCAAAGAAAAAAGGCGATCAAACAGTGCACCAATTCTTTTCCTGGTTGGGTGGAAGATGGTACACTTGCGCCCCGCTAAGCCGGGCGCTGCAGCGCGATGCCTCTCAGCATCGCAAACTTGGAGTGATGGCACCACTTTTTGCCTCGGCGGCATGCGAAGTGGCGCCGCACGTTGTGTTGATCCTCGTGGCTTCCCCCGGATTCGAGGATTTTGTGCTGATTGATGGAGCGTAGTTCCCCAATAGCGATGGCGCCGAGTTGAGACTTTCCGATTGTAAAGTTCTGCAAGAGCTGGCCGAGCGTGTCGGGCGTGCATGCCGTGGGGGTGGCCTGAGCGTAGCATCCAAAGCTCGGGTAGTCATGGTTCTCGGGCCTCCAAGCAGCGGGTCGGATCATGTTCTCATGGCACTTGCGGCGCACTCGATCCGGGGTGGTGCCGTGCACATACATGACAGCGTGATGGGAGGCCGTGCCGGATCCAGCTTCCGGGTCTCCGCCAGCAACTGGCCAAGGATGAGGTCGAGGAAACCAAGTGGTTGCGAACACCATGCCGTGTGATTCCCGTCCCAAGAGATGGTAGAAGCTGGGATCGAACGGTATGGGATCATCCGTGTCCATGGTTCGCAGTTCCCAGCATTCCGCGAGGAGATCGGCATGTGAAGGTGGCAAAGCAGGGTCCAGGTCCATCAAAATGGCCTTAGTCTGTTCCACCCTGGAGATGTCCTAGGCTGGAAGCGGGTCCAGCTCCCCCAACTCCCTAGGCGTGGGAACTCGCAGCGGGTCAGTCTTGGCCGTGTCCATGACGTTTCTCCATAGATCAAGCCACCGGTTGTCGGAAGTGGTGGTGGCATTGATGCCCGCCTCCGATGGAGGGGGGTCCAAATCACCGGTGTTGTCGAAGGGGGGTTGGGGAGGGTGAGGAGTAGCCAGCGTGGGTCGGGGAGGGGGAGGGGGAGTGGAAGTGAAGGCCGCCGCAGGTGCTGGGTGAGGGGGCAAGCTAGTGTTGTGGTGGCCGGTGCGGGAAGTGGGGTGGGGTTGCTGCCCAGGGTGCTGCAGTGACCAGGACGATCGTTTGTCCTGGTTGTTTCGGTGGCCGGTGTGGCTGGCGCCTTGGTGGTGCATGTCCCAGCGGTTTTTGTTCTGTGGTGGGTATCCCCACGATTGGTTCCGCCAGTGTGAGGAGGACCATTGAGACTTGTTGGAATCCTTCCCGGAAGTGCGCCAGGAGGTGGAATCATGAGTAGTGTGAGTGGGTCGGTGCGAAGTCGTGGCTCTGGGTGCAGGGGAGTGTCGATGGTGGGAACTGTGTCGGGGGGAGCGGGAGCGGAGGGAGACAGTGGAGTGGTGTGCACGTCGGGAGTGGTGGAAGTGTCGGGAAGGGGAACGTGACCTGCTGTAGCTGCGGGATCGTCGGGTGTCGTGTCGTCGGTGCGACTTGTTGTGCCTGCGATGGTGGCGGGTGTGGGAGTGGGAGTGTCGGTGCTGTCTGTGGCGGGAACGGGATCTGCGAGAGTGGGGATGGTGCCGAGTGTCCGGGGGAGGGTGGTTGGTTGAGGAGGGAGCGGCAGGAGCCGCAGCGGCAGCTTCGGGCGCGCGCGCCGGCTGAGGCTCGGGCAGTGAAGATGGCATGCTGCTCTGAGTCATGAAAGGCATGATGGTGCCAGGTGCCAAGTTGCCGTAATTGGGAGGGCCACCGTAGGGCATCATGGCCATCGGGTTGCCAAAGTTCGAGAGGCCGCCGTAGGGCATCATGGGGAAAGGTGTGAAGGATGCCGTCTGCGAGTTGGGTGACGGTACAAGGTTCATGGGCTGCGTCATCTGGGATGACAGCTGCAAGTTCGGTCCACAATTGCCTGGTGAGCCGGACGTGGTGCCGGTCGCAATGCTGTGCAGGAGCGAATGCATCATGTCATAGAGCTGGTGTCCAGCCATCTCGCAAGGGAGAGAGAAGGTTGGAAAGGGGTGAAACAAAACCACAACTGCGGCAAAAATGCGTCAATGGTGCAAATGCATGCGAGCAAAATTGCGTCAATGGTGCAAATGCATGCGAGCACAAAGGGGTTCTCAGAGGTGCCTGTCAAGTGGCCTCATGAAAGTGCCTCATGTGGCTATGCCGATGAATCTGAACTGAACTCATCCGAGACGAAAGCTTCCATAAACACCACGAATTGCAGAGTTGGTGTATGACCAACTCGTCACTGGCGCATGAAGCTTAGGAACCTGAAACCTCGTGGGTGCAGCCTTGCTTCAAAGGCAGGCAGTGCTGGCAGTGCAACGCGCATGAAACCAGCAGAGCACCATTTGGGTGCGGAATACCTTAAGACCTCAAGCTGCAGCCTTGATCGTGGTCAATCGCGTCTTCCCCTCGCAGGGGGCTCCCGCATGTGGCGAGTCCAGCCCACAGCGCCATGTCGGACAGGCCGTGGGTAAACACACTTATCTCGAGAGGCTGCTCTTGCAGACACGCGATTGTGCTGAAAGGGCATGAAAAAATCAATCTGCAGTGCAAATGTCACATCATCGAAACCGAACATGAAGCAAACAGTGGTAAACCGAGGAAACACATTAGGTCACGAAAGGATGGCAGGTACGCCGGAATGGCCAATTCCGGTATCCCGTCTTGCTGCCTAGCTTTGTTAGACCAGGTCAGCAGCAAGACGCCTGGTCCCCCTGCAATGTGGAATTTCCGTCCGTGCTCCAGGACGCTTCACACACACACACACACACACACACACACACAAACACACACACACACACACACACACACTCACTCTGGCGCGCACACGCACACACACACACACACAAGCCCAGCGCGCGGGAAAAGCGCCCCGCAAAAACTCACGACTCCCTCTTCGTCCCCAGCTGAAGCCGCTGGAGGGTGTTGAGCTGCGACTCGCAGGACAGCACCTTCTCGAGCCTGCGGGGCTGGGGCTGTCGCTTTGTCCGGGAAGAAAAATCCAACCACTACAAAGGGCTCGGTTCGTCCCCATCCAACCACTGAAAAAAACAAATGCCTGGGATGTGTTTTTTTTGATGAATGCCCAAAAAACTGCAAGCAAACCAACCACAAGCCATGCTTGAATTTACAGGGAGTTTCCCTTGTTCCCTACTTGCAATACTTAGGACCTCCGTTTTGGGAGGGCTAGAAACCGTAGTCTGCTGTGCCCGCAGAACATTTTAGCGGGAGGTTGGCGCATCCCCTCTATGATTCGGGAAGGAACCCCAGCCAAGGGAGTCTAAGATGGCGTCCAACCCCAAACTGCCCTGAGGGTCGAATGGGATACACTTAATATAAGTGCCACAAAGAGTACCCCTTAGACAAAAAGCAAAACGGAAAATATGCGAAATCGCCACCATGCGGAATCGTTGGGGTAGATCCTGCGGTCCAGAAACCGCCACTTGAAAGGAAACGCTGCGATTGTTTTGACCGGAAACGCCGTGGTCACAAGATTCCTCCCTCACAAGTGAAAGGGGTACCCTCAACAAAAGATCAGCCACCCAGGCAATGTTTAAAACCACCGCCACAATCATTTTTTACCGAGAGCAGAAGCATATGCGCCTCTGGGGACGGCAAATGGACATGTTGGCCCTGAACTTGGCGGCGGTGACCTCCAGGATGTCCTGGGCCTGACGTGCTGAGTTCCACGGGTTTGTTCAGAAACGACCATTGCTGTTGTTTCGAGCTCCTCCAATTTTGAGACAGCTCCAAGTATTCATATGTTTGCCTCGGCCACTCGGGCCGAGCGGTCAGATCCCTCTTGATCTTAAGGGATCTTCCCAACCCCTTCCCCAACCCCAGCCCCCTTCCCTTTGAACTACACCTAACCCCCTGCTGGCCCCCAGATCTTCCAAGCCACCCACAAACTTCCGCCGCAGCCCCGGAGCATAGCAGACGCTCCTAAAAATGTATCTGCGTGCGTGCCAGACGCGCGTTTGGCTGCGGCGCCATTTTCCGTAGGTTCGCTCTTGCATGCACCACTGGTGCAACACCATCCGTTTCCTCGAGCTGCCAAACGCCGCGCAAACCCCCCACACGTAGCACCCCAGAGTTTCTTCCAACATCTCAAAGTGCTCAAGGCAAAAAGCCAACTAAAAGAATCAGGCTGATACTGGCCGAGGAGGGCAGCCCAAAGCGTTTACAACCAATATGTAAATTAGTTTAGTTTAGTGTGTGTTTTAATATTGAATATGATTTTCAAAAAGTACGTTCAATAACATAATAAAAGTCTGAACTGTCTGTCCTTCATGTTTGTTTCCACTGGCAGTTGCATCCCGTGTGCATAAAGGTCATTTGACAACCCCACCTATATGATCCCCTTTTCACTCTGCTCAGACACTATTTGCGCAGAAATCTGCCGTATCCCGGCCATGTGTTTTGAAGAGCGCCGTACCCTCTAGCTCCACTTTGTTCCAAAGCGTTGGAATATGCCCCAACCTTGGAGGCTCAAAACCGAAATGGGATACATGTGCCGGATAACAGGGGCTTGCATAACCAGCCACACATTGAAGCTTAGCAGAAAAATGGCTCCTTGGGGACCATTCAAGAGTCCAGCTGCACCCGCAGGGTATACAGCTGACGGTCCACAAGCTCCTCCTCAGCATCCCCAGCATCCCAGAATCCCCAGCCCTCATCGCCAGCATATCCAGGATCCCCAGCATCTCCAGCATCCCCATCATTCCCAGTATCTCCAGCATTCCCAGCCCGAAAAAGAATATCCTTCTCGGCCCAAGAGAAAATCCATCCCGGGCTGGATCTCCAGCATCCCCAGCATCCCCAGCATCCCCAGCAACCCGCATTCCTACATCACCAGGATGAATTGAACTTCTATGTACCCTCAGGTGATACGTTCGGAGGACCCGCCTCCTGCAGCGCACGCTCAGCCACCTGACTGATACAAGATGGCCTACCCAAAACCCACACCAAGCATTCCGGCAAAACCGACCGATCTTCTGCAGTAATGTTTTGTAAATCCTTCCCTTCATCTCAATACAGGTTTGTCTCCAACTGGGGAGATGTTCCACATGGTTCCCTTTGAAGCAAGCCAAAGAAGCAAACCCTCAAAACATACGACCAGGTCAGAATGCGCGATTCCCGCTTAAGGGCAAGGTAGAATCAGTGAGTCCCCGTGATTGCATGGGAAGTTCAGAGCTCGTCCCACGTATCCCTTCAAAATGGACTATAGGCTACTGCATATCTTGACCGAACCTCGGAACATGAGATGGCAGATCTGCGTGGAACATCTCAAGCCATTTCCCACGCTGCGAAAGAAATCGCTTCCGCCGGCGACAACAGGCGCCTCGCGCTTGCCACGCTCAGACAGCGGGCACCAGCCTGGGCAGTGACGTACTGCCCCTCAACCAAACCTGGCAGCCAGCAAACCAACATAAAAAACTACCTACCAACCAAGCTGCCAACCAACCTAACCACAATTTAGGGTTGTTTCACACAGGACAGCCAAAAGGATAACCACCATTTTGAGGAGAGGGGGGAGGGGGAGACGAGGCTCAGAGCCCTATGAGTCAAACATTTTGGGGAAACCGGGTCCAAAGTCCCAATATCCACAACACAGACATTGACATGAGGAACACCAACGTTTGCTCCTGAAACCTGAACCCGAAGCACCCTAGCTGAGAAACCCTGTTAATCCGTTTTGGGTTCAGGGTTTTGGTGGAGCCCGGGGAGGGGTGGGGTTTGGGGATCCTGGAGCTTCGACTCTTTGGCCAAAGCGCCAACCCAGCTGCGGGCACAGGCACAGTGCCACTCTGGAACGCCGGCCTGCGTGCAGGTCCTGGCACTCGTCAGGGGCCAGGAGAGGAGGGGTTTTCTGGTATGCTGTCAGGTATGGATGTAAGCTTATGTAAGTGGTGTTTATTTATATATAGATATATATGTATCCATCCATACCTCAGGATATCACAAATATAGGATTACAGAAATGGTATATGTCTATCCACCTCCAAAACGCGTACCTTGAACCTTGAGCGTTTCTTTCGGCTATCCTTTCGGTTTTTAGAAAAATCTCATCTTGACACATGCTGTAGATGTTGTTTGTCCAGGACGCCAAATAAAGCTTGTATCTTGGGTGGTTTTAACATCACGGCCATCTTAGGTGTCCTTTAAGAATAAGTTTAAAGGGGGCATAAAAGGAGTCATGTTAGGTACCCACAGGGTGGTTCTAAAGGGACGCTTTTCTAACCCCAGCAGGTTGCTTCACCCAAATCCAAGGGCACCGTTTTCGCTCCCTTTCTAGGCCCCAACTCATTCTTTATGGGGGGGGCTCAAGGCAAACAGCCCCGACCTGTCCCACTCTATTCATCCGTTTCTCCAAGTTTCGGACAATCCCGGAAGAACAGCCCAAATGGCGCACAAGGAGTCGCCTGCTTCTTTGTGAGGTACTTCAACTAAACTCGAGGGTGTTTTTCCCTTTGGTTGATGTGCAAAGGAAAACCCTGCTGTGGAGGCCGTTGCCATTTGTGGGGTCCCAAAACTGGCAGCTTTCCTTTCTGAGTCCCTAGCGCCAAAACGGTCCTGCCAAGCTTTGCCAAACCAACTAGCTTCCATTTGATGTCCCATTCCAACCATCCCAGAAGATGGCACGCTCAAAAAAGACAAACCTCATCTGAGCGACGGTCAATATTCATTGTCTCCCCAATGAAATAGGGTTTATGTGAATAGTCACCCTCTAGACTAGACTGCGGTAGGTAGCAGTAAATCAGCTTCACTCTCATGGTGGTTTGGCTTGGTGGTTTTCATGGTTAATCCAACACACCAATTCTAAGGTTACCTGACAAAATATTGGCCGTGCATCTGCGCCCTCAGCCTTTGCCAGTCCCCGTCCTTTGCTGCGAGATGCGGCTCAGCAAGGACTGGGCCCGATGGTCCGGGGCATCCTGACTCGGGCTCAAAGCAAAGGAAGACTGCGCGGGCCATTGGTTCAGGGGCAGGCTACGTCAGGTAAGCGATTTGTTCATAACCCACTTGCCATGGCGTGAAGTCCCCGACATGGTTACAACTCACTTCCGAGCCGCAACCATGGCTTTGGTCGGAACCATGACCCGCGCACCGCATCGATCGCCCCTTTCAGCAGCTCCCATGCAGCTTGAGCGCGGCAGCACCTGAGTGCCCCGCCCACTGCCAAAGGTTCTGGACATCTCCTGGGCACACGACAGGGATGGGGTGCGTCTCTTCTTTTTGAGTGATCGATACCCGCAAACGCGGGTGAGCTGTTCAGGAAATTGAAGCCCATTCTGAGCAAGCCAATTCCCATGAGCCTTCCATTTTTTCGGCCGCAACTGATGCTTTTGGAGCACTTTAGAAGGGGCCTGGACAAGAAAGTTGCAACTCCCGTGGATTGAAAGAGCACAACTAGGTCTCATGCAGGGTCTTCCAAAACCGCAGGAACTACACCCAAAAAACGCCTTGGAGGTAAGAATTGCCACTCTTTTCGGTTCAGGTCGGGATCATGCATAAATCTGGTTCACATGTGGTTTTCTGAGGGCACCTTTTTTGGGGCTGGCTTAAAGGCAACTGCAAAGGACACCTCGGCCCCATTTTGTAGACCCCATTTGGAAAACAAACCCAAACTCGCCTCGGAAGAATTACCCAGACTCCGGCCTGCATCCCCGATGAGCTGGCGGAATGTGGCATACCTGGTCTCCAAATTTTAGAAGGACCCCCCCCCCAACAAACACACTCCGCGCCGGGTCAATCCGAAAGAGGATACTGTTCAAAACGACGCTCCCACCATGACTCAACACGGTATCCTTCTGGGATCATCGGTTCTGCGGGAGGGGCAATTCTACTGAGACCCTGGCACATCAAACCAGGATGTTATAACGAATCGGTTCTGGTCCTCAGCTGCCAAATCTGGGCCGAAAGCGTCTGGCTTGCGCTCCGTCTTTGGCTTGCTCCAGCAAAACTCTGCGGCTCAGGCGGGAAACCCATGAACCAGGATATGCCCAGAAAGGTGACCTACCAAAAGAAAGGCGCGCAGGTGGGATTTTCTCTGGCAACTGAGCAGTCCGCAAGGTTCCAAAGATACCTCCGCCAAGCGCGTGCTTGGTCCTGCGAAGCTCGAACTCACATCCGGCACACACAAAAGTATCTGACCAACTTGGAGCAAGTTCCACTTTGTTCTCTCGTCTTTTAACTTAACTTCTCTTGCTGCTAAAACGTGTGAATTGTCATGAGAACTGTGAACACGAGCCTCCCATCGCAGCCCCCCAGCTCGGGAGTGCGGCGCGCAGGCCCCCCCCTCAAAAAAACAAAACACCAATCTTGTATGAGCCACAGTCAATACCGTGTCGCCACCTCACATGGGTTGTTGGTCAGCAAACCTATGCGTTTTGCATTTTCTGTCTGAGCGCGATGTGCGTCTGAGTCAGCCAATCATGACTCCAACCAAACACAAAAAACTGTGGTCACGGCTCCAACCCCTGATACCCTGGTGGACCTCAAAAATATTTGATAAACGGATGTTCGTCCACCCCAATTTGGGGATCACTGGTTTTGACCCGCGGCCATATGCAATAAAGCTGTGCCATCTGTGTCGGACCAGCATTTAATTCAGGAACAATTCCCTCAGGCGCAAGCGCCATCCATCTGCCAAAAATAGAGTCAAACACACCCCTCCGCACGGCCGCCATTGGCGGCCAAACTTCTTGTTGCGATGGTCGAGGCAATTTGAAGCCACGGGCGGCACCGGACCAGGGGGCCGCCTTGACTCAAGCTCTTGCGACGAAACAATCCAAATCCATGGGTGCATGAACTTCATCTCCTCCGATCAGCTTCAAGCGATAGGCATTGCATTCGTCCCACTGGCCCACCACCACACCATTCTCCCAGTCGTGGGGCCCACCACCGGTCTTCGCCTTGACCTGGGTGCCCACCGGAAATCTCAAGGGACTGGTCTGCAGGCACTGCTTGAAGCCTTCTGTCAGCTCAGCCCGGCGCGGCTGCATGCCGCGACCGATGAAGATGATGCGATTCTCCCGCTTTTCGCCCCATTTCCATGGCACGGTAAAGCCCTGGTTCCTCAGCATGTGAACACACTGCAGCACGAACTTCCGATCGCTGCCGGCAATATTCAAAACCGCCTTCACCCGCAAAAAGTCCGTGGCGGTTTCCTCAGTGTCCAGATATCGATCCAAAAACCGTTGGAAGGCAAACATCATGACCTGTCCCTCGCAACGGACACCCACATTGGACACGGACTTGTCCATCTTGGGCTGGTAAAACTGCCGAAACTCATGTTCATCCATGTACTGCTCCTCCAAGACCTTCTCTAGATTGAAGCACCCCACATTGAAGAGCTTGTTCATGGGGGCTTTGGCCTGCTGGCAACATATGATCTCCGCCGCGCCGTTCAAGTCCTTGAGGCGTCTCTTCACCTTCTCCAGGCGCAGCGCGTCCACCAGGTCGGTCTTGTTCAAGAGCACCGTGCTGGAGAAGGCGATCTGAGCACAGGCCGTGCCCTTCTCGGGGTCTCCCTTGCTCTCGTCCAGCTTCTCCAGGCCGTGGAGGGCATCCACCAGGGCCACCACGTTGTCCACCATGAAGTTCCTCTGCACCTCCGGGTCCACGATGAAGGTCTGCACCACCGGCGCGGGGTCCGCCATGCCGGTGAGCTCGATCAAGACCCCGTCCAGCTGCACCTGCCCCGTGCTCCACCTCTGGCCGATGTTGTGCAGGGTTTGGATCAGATCCCCGCGCACCGTGCAGCAGATACAGCCGTTGTCCAAGAGAACCAACTCCTCGGCCATGTCTTGATGCTTCTGCTCCACCAAGGCGTCATCGATGCTCACTTCTCCGATCTCGTTCTCGATGACCGCGAGCTTCTTCTCCGCCTGCTCCCGGAGGATGTAATTCAGCAAGGTGGTCTTGCCAGCGCCCAGGTAGCCCGTCAGCACCGTGACCGGCAGCCGCGCAGGACGTCGGTGGTTGTCGGAGTAGCCATGGTCATGGCCATGGCCATGCTCGTCGGTCCTGCGCCTTTTGTCCATGATCGATGCTTGATCCGGCTGCGGAACTTGAGCCCAGTCGGACAGTAAACCCATGTATTAAACCCCATGTCATCCACCTTACTACAGTAAATGAGGAATGAGCTAAGCCGCGCCTCTTCGGCTTCACCAGCAGCCCCGTCAAGAGCTTTGGAGCAAGTTTGGGAGGAAACCTACATGTAAAGGGGTCCATGCAGGTGTGTGTGTGTGTGTGTCACCCGCAAGGGGGCACCCAACAGTGCAGTTCTGATTCTCAAAAGGTTCTAAACGCGGCATGATTTCTCCGAGCCCAAACTGGCTCCAAGCATTGGCTTGTGCACAGTGCAAGACCAAGTCCTTTAGAACTTTAGGGGATCCAGGCACACGAGCGCAAAGTCTCCACATGGCACATGGGTCGCTCCTCGTGCGCACGCCGCTTCGTCCTGCCGAGGCGCTAAGGGGTCGCAGATTCAAAACGAACGGCACCCTGCGACTTTCTCTTGTTGCGATAGGTAGGGAATGACCGTGTGGGTTTTGGGAATGAATTTGGGGATTCCCTTAAAAGGAAACCAGAAGGGGATGGTTTATAGGGGTCGTTCCCTCAGTCCCTGCTGAGAACCATCCCTCGATCCCTGGATGCCTTTCGACTTTCCATCTATCGTGGTGCCGTCTTTTTTGGGGACCCGTCTTTTTCGACCAACCGGTTTTGTAGCCACGGATAAAACAAACGGCATATTGGAGATCCAAAAGACGGCCGGATTAGAAACGCCGGCGGTCACGGGGAATGGCACCAACCGTACGCCAAACAGACCATGGTTCAGTCAGTGTCCTCCTTGGGAGCCAAATTCTGACCCACCAACCGGTTCGGGCTTGCCAAGAAACAGAAGGGAAAGCCCACCCTCGGGGGAGCTCCATACCCTACACAGCTTGAGACAACCCTTTGTAGCCCCTTGCCTTTGTGTTCCGCAAACCCCGTCCATCTGATGGTGCAAACAAATTCCAACATCTGAAACAAGAGACCCCCCAGCAATGAGTCAACCGAAATGGGTCGGAGTTGCGTCTGATGTCGCCCAACTCTTTTGCATTTTGTTGAGGGAAGCCCATTTTGGTTTCAAAGGGTCACCAACGGGACCACCGCCCATTCAATCATTCTGGTCCTCATTGATTAGGACCTCCATGGGCCAAACGCGACGCGGCGAGCGGCGAGCGATGTCGGTCCCCGAAACGCCAGGACTCCCGAGGGGAGCACCTGTCAGCAGCACCGGCACCCAAATGTAGATTGGTCTGTCTTTTTTCATGGTACCCTGTTCGGGGTTGGTTTAAAGGGAAACCAACAGGAAAGCCATTTTTCTTGCGGTTCCCTAAAAAAGGCACACCCAGATGTGGAACTTTGATCCATTTGTGCCCAATTTGGGTGTTGAACTTCAATGGGGAGCCCTGTGGTGGACATCATTTTGGGAGCTTTGTCCACCGACAGAAGCATATGTGACTTGCCACCAGAGGACCTGGCGGAAATGCCAAAAACAAGGCAAGGGGAAAACTAGCAAAAGTTGCGGGGGAATCAAGCGGGGTCAAAAGTTGCGGGGACATTGGAGTTCCGTGTTTGTTTTGGTGTGCGCCCAAACAAAGCCCCTCTCGTCTCTGCCAAACAGGGCTCCAAATGCTGTCAACCAACCAAACAGAAACTCACTTCAACTTGGCAATCGAAACGTGGGCCAAAAATCCGAAAGATTGGGAACCCTGAAAACTTCACTATCGACACTTGAGGATATGTTGACCAACCTCCCTTTGCCCGGCACTTTATTCCATGGCGTCTCTGCTTGTTGAATTCCTCACCGTACTACGGTCAAAACTCCTCCAAAACCAAACATGTGGCGGCACGTTGTCATGGCTTAGAGCCTGGATGGTGGTTAAAATCTTCGATTCTGGGCTGATGACCATCCCTAAACAATATTTTGACGGTGGCAGGTGTGCCAACCAGAAAACCGCCCCCTGAGCACGCAAACAGAGGGCCCATACCCAGACCTCCAGTCGCCATGGTAACAAGGGCACCATGTTTGGCAGTTGAGTTCAGGAAAAATGACACACCCTCCAAAAAAGGAAAAAGGGATGTGGGGGCAATTTAGTTTGAAACAAACACCGTTACCGCCCTCTGCCCTCGCCGGGTTTGAACCACCCGCCTTGAGCCACGGGGAGGCGTGCTTCAGGCATTAACAATGAGACCTGGACTCTGCTGTGCTGCGCAGGTTTGTCGCCTTCCTTTCCCATTTCGCTCTAAGACGAGTCCTCAAAATGAGCACCAGTCATTTGGCCGAACATGCTCACTCCTTCAAAACGAAGGGGATCACGCCAGCCACGGACCGAGGTTCCTGCGAAAGGGAAGCTCCTGAGCGCGTACCCAAAGGCGTGACTCCAAAAATGCCACGAAGCGGCCGGTCCCCCGTCCGCTTTCTGGAGTACCCTTTGGGGTTCGCTTTTTGGTGGGCCTGTCTCAGCACACGCCCGAATAGGTGCGGGGGGGCACCGAGGCACTTGTCAACTGAGGCCTGCTTTGCATGATGTCCTTTGTATGTCACTTTGGAAAATGGATGGCAGTGGCTCCAGCTTCTCCCTACAAATACCCGCGCGCAGCGCGGCTGTTGGGGCAGGCCACTCTCGGATCACAGTTTTCCCAGGGGACCACCGTGGACGCAGAAATACCGTCCTCGCACAAACCCTTGGGAAGCTCGTTGATTGGACCAACTCTCAGGCACCATGTTCGCCCATGGGGGGGGCTTGTCCCCCACGAGACGATGGCACTTGCAACAAATTTTGGTCTCACTGTTTGTGGTGGTACGCCTTTTGCGTGGTTGGCTCAAAGGGAAACCAAAAGGAAACCAACGGAGGTCCCCGATTTTAAGACACACCCCTCTGTGTCTTGCACGGGCGTGTTCAAATTTGGGGTGCGTCTGTTTTAAGGGGACCCCCCAAATCCAAAATGGATTGGTTTGCTTTCGTCTTCCCTTCAAAACCACAAAAAATAAAACACAGGAGTGCCCTCAGAAATACACAAACCCAAATCCTCATGGAGAATGGTCCCAACGCCAAATGCACAAAACAAGACACGCTCATTTGTGGCTCCTGCCATTCCACTGACATGAGCGACCTGCGAAGATTTTTGGGCCCCGGCTCGTCGCACATGTCCGGCGGCCCATGGTCACCCGCCAGGACCTGCCATGCCCGCAGGTCTGTTTTGGTCGGGGGACCAGATGGGCCGTTTGTCACTTTTTGTTGGGGGGGGGGGGGGGGCAACCACGTTTTGGGGGGCTTTAAAGGGAAGACCGCATTTTGGGGGTCCATTTCAGCTGGGACCAGTCTCCATCAACAGTTGTCTGTTTTTCGGGGGGGTGCCCCTTTTTGTCGGTGGGTTTAATAGGGGAAACCGCCAGGAAGACCACAAGACTTGCCCTAAAAAGCGCCGAGCCGCGCATTTGAAGATTTGGGCCACCCCCTCACCTCAGCCACTGGACGCCGACGAAAAAGAAATTTGCGCCGGGCCCACCACCACAGGCCGCGCCTCAGGCGGGAGCCTGGCATCCAAAAGCCACACATGTGGGTGCGGTTCCTTCTTCCACTGGACAGCGCCCTTTTGTGAAGGAACCCTTCTTGGAATGCCTGCCTACCTGCCTTCCTGCCTGCCTGCCGCCTGCCTGCCTGCCTGCCTGCCTGCCTGCCTGCATTCTTGCTACTGAGTAGAGCTCCTTGCAGCTTCGAAGATGGAAGCTCGAACTGCAGCACTCGAGAAACCCCAGTTGCTCAACCACACAGGTCCACTGGATGCTGACCCGCACGCTAGGGGTTGCGGTCCCGAGATACGCAGCTCAACTCTTCGCACGGTCAATAGGTGATCTTTTCTGGTGGACCCCATCGTTCAAGACTTTGGAGGCGTAGGACGCGTAGTTTTCCAGCGATTCGAATTGCGGCCGAAACAGGTTTGCTCCCAACACCCCCGGGAAGCCAAAGGAGCCGTTACCGTTTGATCATCCTTTAGGAACGGTTTGGAATCCTTGCACGCGGCGGATGGGCGAGTCGCAAGTGGCCGCCTGCTGAGCCCCTCAAGGTGTGAAAGTAGGGCTTTGTCCTGAGACAGACTGGTGGGTGAGTGTTCAACCATGGAAGCGGTTGGTGGGAGCTTCCCCAAAAGGGGGAACATGTAGTCATGTAGTCTACCAAACCCTCCTGACAACGTTCACGTTTGTTGGAGGAACGGCACATGTTCACAAGTCCAAAGGGAAAGCTTGGACCAAAGAGTCAAAATATCTTTCACTACCTCCAAACCATGGCCCCCAAAAGGGCTTAGTGGGATAAATGCACAGCCACTATGTAGCACCTATGTAGCCACTACAAAAGAGAATACAATTTTCCCCCGAATAGTGATTGGAGAAACCAAGCTTTGGTTTGCTCAGCGCCTGGCAAGTAGCTGCAGCGCCTCTTGCGCTTCATGCGCTGCCTCGGTCTGAGAAACCAGGCTGCAATACTCCAAAGAAATTGGGATTCATATGAGCCATAGTCAAAAACTCCATATATGGCCTGTGATCATGGTTGACTGAATAGGCATCCTTCTAATGGTTTTGAGGGTCCTTAATCCCAGGTGGATGACCATCCCTGCTAACCCCAAGCAATGGGGGTGTTTGACCATTGCTCATATATCCATCTAAATTGGGTCAACCATTTTAAATGAGGGGTTGAACCCTAGGCAAGGGGTGATTCCTGTTCCCCCTGCGCGTGTCGTTCTTTTCAACAAAGACCCTTTGCCCTGGCTTTTGGTGGTAAATGGTTTTCTGAAGAGAGGGATCTCTGGATCTCTGGAAAGAATGGGGGAAGCAGCAAGAGCCAAGAGTGCGCATCACGCCGCAAGTGAGCGAGCCTCAAGATGGAGGTAGGCAAAAATGGGAACATCTGCGTGGATCTCCTCGCAGTCGGGGAAAAAATTGCTAAGCCGCGAGGCTTTTCCCATCGTCAAAGGTCCAATGCATGTTTCAAGACAAATCGAGCACATGTGAGGCCTGTGAACAAATGAAACTACCATCAACAGATTAATGAATCGGCCCTCCGGTCCCTGCTTATTTGGCTTGGGACCCCCGACAAACCCGTACCAGGGGGTCTTCTAGCAGACTTGCGTCATGTGTTTTGCACACTACTCCCAGCCGGTTTGTCCGCATCTGGGGGTTTCTCAAACCATTGTGGCCGTTTTGAGAAACACCCATCTCCAGGCATGCGAGTCATGCACACTCCTGAAATCGAAGAAAGTAGTTCAGCAAGTGCTCATGCGGCCTCTTCTCTCCGACGCAACCACGGCTTCGATTCCTGCAGCTCAACGAACCCCGAAGACGGGCCCCCGGTCTCCTTTTGAGTTCAAGTCAGTGGTCGCGAATCATTGCTGTTGAGGCGGAAATCCCGCCAAGACCACTCTGCCCTCAATAGCAGCCACAAGAATGATGGCTCCTGGAGATGTTTGACCTCCAAGCAATGGTGCAAAGTCCCACCGGTGCCCCAAATTGGCGCGCAAAAGCCGCTGGATGTGCGGAAACTGGCAGCCCGAAATCCATGTCAGTTGCTCACCCTTGGTTTTGAGGCTTTGGTCAACACTAAATCCACTGAGGCAACAGTTGTCTCATGTTTCCTCAGCGAATCATGCCAAAACAGAACGGTGCACCTCTTGCTCTTGTCCGTCTGGTGACTCCCACCGCATCTTTGACATCACACATTGAGTTGGCCAGTTTGGAGAAGCACACTGAGCATCCGTGATCCCAGAAATGTCGTGCTGCAGTGTTTCTAGCTTTTGTTTCTTGACCAAGGGCCAAAAAGTTGCCGTCCACATGGATAAACTCAAGGGCCTAAGGTGTGTTGTCTCAGTCCCTCGCCACAACGGTTGTGGGGGGTGGCAGGTCCTCTCTTGCACGATCAGGCGCCATTCGTTCTGGCTGTGGCAGTTCGGGTCAACTTCCAAGGATGGTGCAACACCTCGGCGCAAAGAATACGGACATGTCTCAACGACAGAACACTCCTAAACCCCCCCCCCCCCCGGAAAACAAATCACGCATGGGTAGGGAGCCTGGTTTTGGCGACACCTTCAAAAAGTTTGGCTCGTCTCAAATCAGGGCAGCCCCAGCGTCATGGGAGCCAAACTCCCCCCACCCTGCTCTGGTCTCCTCCCAACAAAAGCCCGAAATATCAGGCCTTAAGTTTCAAGCCTTGGAGGAAACCAGGGGCAGGGGTGTTTCTGGCCTGTTGGACCCGCACCTGAGGGAAACAGGTTGTCGCAGATGCGTTTCCAAGGTGTCGCTTAAGTAGCGAAGCACCCCCCCGTGCTGGCGACCCTAATTCCAAGTTGAACGTGCACCACCTTCCGGATGACAGGCGCGCACTCCATGAGCTCCCCGCGATCAAACTCTTGCAGCCGATTCCTGCAGTACCGCGTGCCCAGAAAGCCTCGGCCGGCGCCAAATGCGACCCAAACGATCGGAGTACTTTGGGCGATGAAAACCAAAAAACCTAAGCCCATACTAGTCAAGGAAAGGACCCACTACCAATTTGAGTGACCCTGTTTGATCAAGCAACCTTGCAAGACAAATCAAGGATTGGTTTCACTTAGAATTGGGGCCCTGCCCACCTTGTGTATTGAGGGTGCTCAAAGGGAAACCAAAACCAACACCACAGCTACTGGTACCGTGTTCAATTTCGACCTCCATCGGGTTGAGCTTCTTGCCATTGCAGCCGCTGGCACCGAAGATGGTCTTGTATCCTTGGCGTCTTGCATGGCGGGATGCCAATCCACTTGAAGGTGCAATCGGGAACTTCAGGGTAAGCTAGTTCGTAACTATGGTCATAAGCCACTTAAGCTATCGCTGCAAGTGCTCCAAGTCATGGTAAAAGCCTACTTTGGTTCAACCATTTTGGTGGTTTGTTTGCCCATGGTTACTAACCACTTCCCTCACGTTCCCGATCGCCCCTTGAAGCAAGCTGCGCAAATAGGGTCACGGGCCGTGCTTCTTCGCCACATTCCAAATCAACCGATCCTTGCGCAGCCGGCGAAAACCGCAGCCGAAGAAGCTGACTCGACTCCGGACCTCGGGGATCCCATCTAGGACGACGTCGCAATCCCACGTGGCCTGGCGGTGGTGTTTTTGGTGAGACGCAGAAGTGGAATTCAGTGGGAGACCCTGTTTGCCGAGCCCCAACCGGCTCTTTGAACCCAAAACCAAGAGGTAGGGAGAGAGTCATGGTCCCCAATCAACGCACCCCACCCTGCGGTCTGAATCCTTGACTTTGTCGTAGGAGAAGCCTCAGAGGCACACGCCGGATCCCAACCCCCAGAACCCGGTGTCCTCCAAAGCCCTTGCCGGTCAAACAAACTACGCAGTCTAACAAAGCGAACTTCTTTTGAGGCGGTAAGCCTCCAGTGAACATCCGATTCGATCCCCACTAAGATAGACTAAAATGGGTGGTGCACCTACCCAAAAATGGTACCATTGGTTTTGACCCACAACCAGTTGGGGAAAAAGACACAGAAGAAAAAAGACATTGAAACTTGGGGGGGGTTGCAATCCTCAGCCAGGCCCCGGCCACTGAGCGCCGGCAGCATGTTCGCCACCTCAGACCCGCAACCATTCACCCATCGAACCTCGAAGGAACGCGTCAGTAAAGTGATATTCATACCATGGGCAAATGTCCCCCCCCCCAAGACCGTGGCTTCACAATTACTTGTTGTGGATATGGCACATGTGGCGATTCCCCCGAGCTTTCAACCAAACTCCATCAAAGCCAAATCCACCACTGCCCTGACGCATCTCGCCCCCTGAAGCTTCGCGCCGTGCCGCCCAGGAAGGCGTGGAAGAGGCCGAGGTCCTTCGCCTCGAACGTCGCTTTGCGAGCGAGGCACGCACCAACTTCCGGGCGTTCGTGATGCCTTCAGACTTAAACAACCTTTGTTTTTTCCGGGTTGCGGCACCCTTTTCAAGGATGGGAAGACCAGCCAAGAGTCAGAGGCAAGCTCAGGGCCGCGGCTCGCCACGCTCCGCCCTTCCGCTGGCGTCGGAGGAACGCCATGGTCAAGGGGCAGTACGCCTACTCGGAGCCCAGTGAGAAGGATGCAAATTTGGTTAATCTCCTGCAAGGTTCCCTGTCTCTTCGGGCGCATCCCCTCTATCCACGGAAATGGACCCTGACAAGCAGCATCTCAAAGGCAGTATGCCTACAGTACTCTGAGACTCGTCTAGAAGAGAGACATGGAACAAAACTCAGCTGAAGATGAGCAGCGGAAGCCCCAAAGCCGGATTGCCCGACCGAGCGGTCTTTTGAGCAGCTGGTTGTTGGTTTTGCCAGGAGGCAGCATCCCCAGCATCACCAGCATCAGTTGAACGGGTTAGATGGCGCTTTGAGTCGGATTTGGGCTGCTGGCACCATCTAAAATCAACCAAGCCCCAAGCGAAATCCAGCCTGGAATGCACCCAACAGATGATGCTGGTGCGGAACATGTGGCACAAGCCAGCCCTGCCAAGCAACAAAGCAACCCACCCACTCCCGTTTTTTGCTCCCCGCTCGGCCCAGCAAACGCGTGCCTGCCTCAAACCCGGCGCGGGAGGCGCTCTCGAGGATCAGGAGGTAAATCGACGGCCCTACGGCGAGGGAGGGGGGGGGCAGGGGCCGAAGTCTGGACATTCCGTCCTTTTCAGATTCTGGGAACATGGGAACGGCTCTTTATCGAGAACTCCGCAAAGCGGTTGGGCTCCAAGCAAAGGGGTCCCAAGTGTTCAAGCCTTGCTGCGGGGAAACATGAAAACGCAAAGGCTCGGGGGAGGGAGGTTGGGATGCTACTGATAGACAAACTCCTGCACCAGTTGGGATTGGTGGTTCATCACTCAGTGTTCGTAGTGCTTTATCCCTCCCACCCCAGCCGGCGTGGAATTTAAGTTGAACAGCCTCGAAGAGGGCCAGCATGCACAAATCAACTTCCCTCTAATCTTGAGCCCATGTTCATGCCCAGTCTGCTACTATGCGGATGTTCACCAGGAACACCCCCTATTTTAACAAATCATATAAATCCCCAGTTTACTAATATGGGGGGTGTTCCCCAGGGACACCCCCGTATTAATAAACTGGGGTTGATCAATATGGGTTCAACTTTGCAAGAGCCAGAGCCAAAGAGGCGCACCCATCCCGACCGCCTGGCGGTCGGGGATTTGAGGCCGAAGAAAGCGGCTGGGGCTCCAGGTGTAGCTCTCCATCTCACGACGAGCCGCTTCCGCGCAAAGCAACAAGCCCGGAAAGGGTACCATCCAAAAAATGGTATAGGCTAGGCTTCACCAACCTGAACTGTTAGGTGAACCTAGGGTTGCTCTTTCCGCGGTGACAGATCCAAGCCAGGTTGCTGCAAAGACCCGAGCGGCGAAGGCCGCCACAAAGAACACCGTTGCCCAAAATGTCGACCAACTTGCGCGCTGATCATCGGCATCAACCGTTCACCAATTTTCTAGCCTTAATCTTTTGGAAGCTCGGAGCCCTACAAACGTCTCCAATTCGGAATCCAGCTTCCCTTTCCAGGTCTCCCTGCGTCCTTATCCCTGCCCTCCCTTTCTTGTTCCCAGTTTTCCCCCTTGTGTGTTCCCACTGCTTCCCATCTGCTTCCCCCCCCCCCGCCCCGCCCGTTTTCCCGCGCATTTTCCCCATGTCTCCCCCCTTTTTCCCACTGCCCACAGAGCTTTCCTCCCGCCGGGACTCCCTGCACTGGTGCACCTGGCTGGTGATCTGCACCCTGAGCGCGCAGGCCGCGTCTTTGGCACTCGCGGTAACCCGCGTGCGCCGGCTCGTTTTGTGGGTCTCTCTCTCTCTCTCTCTCTCTCTCTCTTTCTTTTGGATGGGTCGGCTGTGGTTTTTGTGTTGTGCTTTTCCTTGTTCCTTATTTTTCTCTCTTTTTTTTGTGGCGGCGGGGGGGGGGGGGAATGGTTCTTGGAGTAGGGTCTGTCTTAAGACACACCCAGAAGGGGGGTGGGTACCTTCCTGGGATTTTGCAAAGGGAAAACCACTGGGAAGGGTGGGGTGTGTAAGACATATTTTTTCCGGGGGACCCCAAAGGCTTCATTCGCGACCCACAACTCACCCCAAACCCCCAAATGGGGAAAGTCCACCAATGAATTCAGGAGTCCTCTTGTGGGCCATCATGGGTGAGCTCATGTTACCCACCGTGCGCTATAATTGTCCACATCACCCAAGAACGGAGGCTCCTGCAAATGCTCCAACTTTAAGAGTGCACAAAGGGTGCCAAATCAGACTGGCTTGCTCCCAAAACCATTTGGAACAGCCCAAAAGGTTTTGTTGGGCTTGCTGCTGTTGGTTGCCCTGTCTGCCTTTGAAGGTCTCTCATGATCCCCCTCTCTGACAAAGAACTCTTCTCATGCGAAAGATTTCCACAATCAACCGGATGTGATTCGGACCACCCTGGACCAATCGGAATCAAACCTTCGCAAACCGATCACCACAGTTTCTAAAAGGAACGCCTTGGGTCGTTGCAATGCGGAAGCCCCGAAAAAAAAACAGCTCAACACCTGCTTCGAACTACTTTTGAGACGCACCCTGCAGCTTCCTTGGGGCCGAACTTCACCCCCGGCTAGGGACTTTAAGCTAAGGGCAGGTTCATGGAGTTCAACAACGTTGGCTTGAAGTTCTTTGCACAAAAAACAAAACAAAAGAAGGCATCCTTGTATGCCTCGTTTAACATCGCCCCACCAAAAAGGAATCTCACTCAAAATTGACAACCAAAACGTGATGTTTCAGGCTCCAAAGGAGATGCCTGAGGATCCCTGAAGGAAGCATGCAGACTCTCATTTTGGGGAACGGAATCTTTGTTGCCTTCCAATCTGCACCCAAACAAAATGGCTCCTTTCGGCCCCGGTGCCGAAAAGCCCCATGCAAAACTTGGAACTTGAAAGATCGCACTTACGGGCCCTCTGCCAAGCAAACCAGCGCCTTTTAGGCTTTTAGGTGTTTCTTTCTTCCACCCGGAGGCCTCACGACCCTTTTAAGCAAACAACGCGCAGCTGTTGTTGTTGTTTTCCCTGGAATCGCGCCCAAATCCTCTGGAAGAATCGATCCCCAACTCGTGGCACCCCGTTCCCATCCGCTTGGCCCCGCGCCCCTCCCACTCCAAGCGCAGCGGGAGCTCCAGCGCCGACACCCTGCGCTGCGGCAGGTACCTCAAAGCGTCAAACATATCCAGCGACCCGGTGGACACGCGCCAAAAGAAACCCAAAATGTGGGGGGTGGGGGGGGGGTCTTTTTGTTTGTTGGTTTTTTTTGTAGTTGGTACCCTTTCTTCTGGATTCAAAGGGGAATACAAAAAATAATCGACCCGGACGTCAGACGTTGGCTTCCGATAGGGAATGACGGGTTTGGGGAATGAACCGTTTGGGGCTTCCCGGAAAAAGGAAACCAGAAAAGATGGTTTATGCCATTTCTCATTCCCTGCTGAGAACCAGAAAGTTGCGTGAAAAAACCATGTCCACCAACCGCGGTGGCGCAGCCTGTCGAAAAAACAAATGGCATTTAGGTTGTTGGTTGCTGAAGCAACCGCAGAAGCAGCGAAAATGCTTAAAGTGGTTTTGTTCAACCCCTGAGTGCGGGGAAAAGACCCGGGCGGGGTGCTCAAAATGCTTCGTTGTTTAAACTGTGCCATGTGCGAGTAGGAGAAACTGCACCAAGAGACGAGTCCTAGAATCTGCCAAAGTGTTTCGAAACCAACAGAAGACGAACCCAATAATATTGTCAGCTGCTCACATGGGAAGTCCTCAAAACGCATGCTTAACAATACCGAGTGCCAGGAGGAGTCCTGGTGTGCTTCTCAACACTACTGGCACAGATGCTAGGTTGTGATTTCCACCTGTAGGATTCATTCCTCTCTCTCTGCTTGTGAAAAGGAAAAAGCCGCAGAGATGTTTCGCTACAAGGGAGGACAAGCCGCTCTAAGACAAGGGTTGGGACAAGGGTGGCTTTTGTGGCTGAAATGTTGATTGTCTCTTCTTCTCATCCTCCCCAGCAGGCTACCCACCAAAAAAAATAAGCTCAGGTGATATCCCCAACAGCATGTGGAACCCTGGTGGAACCCTGGTGGAACCCTGGTAACCCTGGTGGAACCCTGGTGGAACCCTGGTGGAACCCTTCAGCTGCTGGGGAACAAGAGAACAAATAACTCCCAGAATCCTCGCGGAACGCCCCGGGACCATCCTTACCGCCGGTGTTGCTGAGGATGCCGCCTTGTAAAGCAAAGCTACGAGTGGCAGCGCAATCTCGCCCTGATCGGGGCCCGACGGCGCAATCGGGGCCCGACGGCGCAATCGGGACCCGATCGGGGCCCGATGGTGCAATCGGAGCCCGATCGGGGCCCGACGGTGCAATCGGGGCCAATCGGGCCCCGATCGTCCCGTGGCGCAACCCTACTATAGCTCAACGCCGGTGACCCTTGGCATGCGGAAGGCAACTGCATCTATAGCAAAACTAGGCAATGCCAGCTTGGGCCCGACGGCGCAATCGGGGCCCGATCGGGGCCTGACGGCGCAATCGGGGCCCGATCGGGGCCCGACGGTGCAATCGGGGCGCGATCGGGGCCCGACGGTGCAATCGGGGCCCGATCGGGGCCCGACGGTGCAATCGGGCCCCGATCGTCCCGTGGTGCAACCCCAGCCACCCATATTATAGCTCAACGCCGGTTTTCCTTAGTATGCGGATTGCAACTGTATCTATAGCAAAACTAGGCGATGCCAGCTTGGTACAATTGACGGGGCCCGACTGAGTCGCGCCCCGATCGGGGCGCGATGGCGCAATCGGGGCCGATCGGGCCCAAAGGCCCCGACAGTGCAATCGGGCCCCGACCTAGGCCCGCTAAACCTCTTAAACCGTTCTCACGCAACTTTCGTGGAGCTCAGCGTGAAACTTTGCTGGAACCTTTCCTCAGGGCTGCCCCATAGCTTTTGCAGAATTTGGTGTTTGACCTCATAGCCCTCGCAGCCTCGTGGAATTCTTGGAACCCAAAGCCCACCAAGCAGCAATGCCAAGCATTTACTCTGCTGCACCGTGAGTTCCGCAGCGACGTGATCTGATTTGCGACAAAGCCAACATGTGCCTGAGCAAGTGAGCAAGTCACAAAACAGTGAAAGCGCGCTAAAAACCATTGATTTCGGTTTTGCTTAGTGTTCCACCCATGAGCAAAGCGATCTTGATTCGATGGCTTTTCAGACGACGGGCGCACGACACACGCTTGGTGGAGCATTGTGGAGCCTTGTGGAACCCGTGTGGAATCCTTGCAGAGCTTTGTGGAACCCTGTGAAACCTCAGGGCCCACAGCCCTCGCAGAATCTTGTGGAACCCTGAAACCCTCATACAACCTTACCTCAAACCACCCCGGACCACCCCGCAGCCCTCGCAGAACCTCGTGGGACCCTGCTAGAACTGTGCTGGAATGGAACCTTACCTTGCAAAACCTGGTGGAATTCTGGTGGAATTCTCATGGAACATTACCTCAAACCAGCCCGGACCGCTGGTGGAAACCCTGGTGGAACCCTCGTGGAACCTTCCCCGGACCACGCCGCACCCTCGAAGAACTTGGTGGAACCTGGTGGAACCCTCGTCCGGAGCACGACGGGCTGGTGGAACCCTGGTGGAAACCTGGTGGAACCCTCGTGGAACCTTACCTCAAACCACCTCGGACCACCCTGCAGCCCTCGCAGAACCTGGTGAAACCCTGGCAGAATTCTGGTGGAAATCTGGTGGAACCCTCGTGGAACCTTCCTCAAACCAGACCACCCCAGCCTCAAACCACCCAGACCACCCCGCAGCCTGGAACCCTGGTGGAACCCTGGCGGAACCCTCGTGAAACCTTCCTCAAACCCGCAGCCCTCGAAGAAATTGGTGGAACCCTGGTGGAACCCTCGTGGAACCTTACCTCAAACCACCCCAGACCACCCCGCCCTTGCAGAACCTGGTGGAACCCTGGTGGAACCCTGGTGGAACCCTGGTGGAACCCTGGTGGAACCCTGGTGGAACCCTGGTGGAACCCTGGTGGAACCCTGGTGGAACCCTGGTGGAACCCTGGTGGAACCCTGGTGGAACTTTGGTGGAACCCCTGGTAGAACCCCTGGTGGAACCCTGTTGGAACCTTAGCTCAGGGTCGCCCCGAACCACCCCGGAGCCTATCTGGGCTGAGACCCCAAAGCTTTCAGCTGTTGGGGAAAAACTATTGTCAGAACACGGCATCAGGAATATTCACATGTTGCAAGTAGACTGCAGGTGGGATGTCATCAAACATCTCCACCCACTCTGTACCACATCCGTCTGATTTGGAGCATCCTCTTCTTTAGCGCTCCAACTGCTTTGTGGGCAAAATCCAAACGTCCCCAGCTAGCTGTGGCTCAAAAACATGTACTAACATGGCACCTTGGCAAACGGAACCAAAAACGCCGTAACCCCAGCTGTTCCATTTGCCAAAACGCGCGGTTCCCTTGTGAGTTCGCCTGAACCAGTCATGTGCCAATCCCCCACTACCATGCTTTCGAAACCCGAGAAAAACACCTTGGGGATGGATGATCCCATCCCGATTTGTCAGTTTGGGTGTGGACCCATAGACCTTTTCCAACAAGAATTCGATACCGACGCCGGGCTCACCGTGCGATGAAGCTGGACGTTGCCTCCACTTCCTGGCAAAATATATGCGGCATGCGCCGGCTGCGGACGCACCGCGGGCCATGGAGCGCTCGTTTCGCCCATTTGACTCTTGATTACAATATGTTATTCAGGTTCTGGACTTTTAAGCAATGAAACCAGGTAGAACCTTCCAAAATTTTGGCGGAGGTTTGCGTCGTCCCATTTTTTGCTGGAGACTTCAGGCATCAAAACGACCCATCACTGGGCCAGACTGATCCGACCTGACAGTTTGTAGGTTTAAACAGGCAAGAAGACCTAGGGAATTCGGAGTAAAAAGAGTAGTTTCGGGACCCTTGCTTCCCTACAAAAGGCCTTCCCAACAAAGCTGGGCACACCTCTGGGCTACTCCAAAAGATATAGTTCCCGCTTCTGCTACATAGTCCGGCATAAACATTTGTCTTTCTAAGACCCCAACAAAACCCTGAGGACTGCCGCCGCTCTTCCGGGCCGGTCTTCCGGTCTTCCGGTCGTCCAGTCCTCGGCGGACATCCGTTGCACCACCCTCGAGATGTCCGTGACCCGGAGCCTCGGCTCTTTGATTTGGCCCCGCACCAACATCCGAAGATGTGGCCACGGGTAGTCCCAATCCTACCCCGACTAAAACATCCGATTCAATCCAACCACTATAGGTTCTAAAATCGGTGGTAAACCTACCCCAAAATGGCACCATTGGTTTTGACCCACGGCCATGTAGCCGTAGCCCCCGTTGCGATTTGGATCGTGATTTTCAAGAAAAAAAACACGGGGCTCCTGGGACCATTTGCAGGCAGTTGGACATAGATGGGTTCCACAGGTCTTAGATGGGTTTTGTTCCTTTTCCCAGGGTCATCCAGTTTTCCGCAAGAGCAAAGGGTCCTTTACATGGGGTGACTGTTGGGGAAACCGAAAAAGATGACTATTACAACCTGACCTAAAAAGGACACCTGGCTATGGGTCAAAACCCCGGTACCCCAGCGAACACCCAGAAAGCCTTCTAAAAAGACAACGGTGGAGTGGTAACCATCCCCATGTTTGGCACCTGAGGTTTCCCACAACCACCTGTGGTCCCGGTTCTGGGCAAACAGTGGTTCACAACAGCTGCATCCGCACATCCGAAGATCCGTGCTCCGCACCTCTGGGGATCTGGCTCCGGGATCCAGGTGATCCCTCTCTGGTCCGGAACAAAGTCCTCACAGCACGCATCCCTGAGCCCCAAACGAAAACCCAGCGGCGGATGTCACACCAAACCGGGGAACCACACCCAACTCCGAGTTGCAAATTCGGTTTTTGTGATCACCTGCCGCAAAGGTTTTGTCATTAGGTCTAAAATCCAACAGCCTATGGTTTCTGGTGGTTCTCTTGCAGTCTTACTGAGTCTTGCTTGGGGGTCCCCTCAACAAATTCAGCTTTTGGTTTTCCGCCCCACCAAAAACAATATGATTGATTCTGGCCCATGTGTTTCATAATTCGAAGAAGACCAAAAAAAAAAGAAGGAAAAAAGTCGATGGGCTCAGGCTCAGAGCAACTACTGTTTTTAATACTCTTCTGTGGATTAACATGGAACCCCAACCATTGATTGAAAAGGAAGCTGCTTTTGGGGAGTCTTCTCTTAGGTCCATGTGTCTAGCAATGAGCAAATCACCTCTGCTGATGAGGCCTCCTGAACGAGTCATAACATGGCCTTGAGCCATCAGCACCCTGCCGTACCCTCCCACCTTGTTCACATGGAACCTGATGTTCCCAAAACCCAGGTCCCTTGAAAAGGAAAATGGTCCCAACCAAAAGGTTCCGGCCGTGAAAGGTTGGAAGCTTCGAGCTGCACCTCGGACAGGTTGCTGCGCAGCAGCAGCACGCCCTCGCCTCAGTCCAAAGGTGCGCACAGCGCGGGGTGTTGCGTTGAAAAGCCGCCGCAACGAGGGTTCCCAGAAAACAAACAAAATCTAATATGATCTCAACAAATTGCTTGTTCCCGATAAGAATGGAAAGTATGCCTGACAGCTCAGAACCTCCAGAACCCACCCTGAAGCCTCCCAAAACCAATCCAACCTAGGATTGGCCTTCCGAGCCAATCTGTTTGGGCGCGATTGAACAGTGAGATGCTCCGCCTGCCGCATGGGTTCATCAGCTTCATGAACGATTTCCCGGGAAGTCAGACACTGGAAATCTTGAGAAACTAAGAGAAACAAAAAGCAGCGAGCGGGAAACCAGCGGGAGACCAGCGGAACCATGCGAAACCAAGTGAAACTGGGGAAAACCCGACGAAAACCCAGGGAAAACCACGAACAACTGGGAAAACCCAGGCAGAACCCAGGACAACCCGGGAAAACCCGCAAAAAAAGCCCGGCAAAAACCAGGGGAACCTCCCCCGCCCCCCTCCCCTCGTCGTCTTTTTTCTTTGCCGAAAGCAAAGAAGAAGAAAAAATAAAAATTAAAATTCAAAAAAAAACACAAAAAAAAATATCCTCCCGCCCCGCTGTGCGTCGCGCTGTAGGCGAGCCGCAGCTTCTCGGAGGGCGGCGGGCAACGCAGCCCCGGCGCCAGAAGCCTCCGGAAGCCGAAGTCGTCGCCGTCTGAGGAGGTGGCCATGGGCCAAACCAAGAATTCCGCGCATGGGCCATGGGTCATGGGCCAAAATGTGACCACCAGTGCACCAAAAAATATGGACCGCAGGTGTTGGTCCATGCTTCCATTTGCCAGGGTTGCATTCTGGGTACCTTTTCTTGACCCACGCCTATGGTCATGGGTCAAAATCAAAATCCTGAACCCCCAGTGAACATCCCACTCCCTATGGACTAGTGGCATAATGTTCAGCCCGGATTAAGCAGAACTGGTTGATTAATACGGGGGGTGTCCCTGGTTTTAGTGGGGATTCAGACCACTTTTGGAGGGAACCCCCTGCAAACAATGGGACGGGTTGATTAACAACACGCGAGTTTGAACAGACAAATGGCCATGGGTCAAAATCCCAATCGTACCCCCACTAAAACATCCCAATCCCCACTAAAATAGGTTCTAAAATGGGTGGGGCGCCTACCCCAAAATGGTACCGTTGGTTTTGACCCTTTGGGGGCCACTTTTATGAAGGAGTCTTTGGCATAGTAGTTGTTAGTCGGTCCCCTTTTGGTCTTAGGCACGGGTTCCAGAGTTTAAGCCTAACCCTCGCATTCCTTGGCTAGTCACGGGCGAAATGGGTGGCGTGTAATTCGTACAAATTGGGCATGTAATTGACGTCCAATCACGTATGCAAAACGCACAGCGTTTTAGGAAAAGCCCCTGGGCTTAAGTGAAGTTTCTAATAGAACCGACCCCAAGAAGAGGAAACTGTGCACGTCCATTTGTGGAGATCACCCTTGTAATACAAAGGGTGTTACGGCACATACCGAGGAGCGTGCGGTGGCATGCTCATGTTCAGAGAAAATTGGTGTGCCCCGTTTTGGGAACCCCCCCCCCTTTAGGTGGTCTCGCGATGGACACCAAAAAGAAAGCCAACCCTGCCAGGGGTCATTTCGAATATTGAGACAGTTGTGCTCGAGAGTCTGACCGGAAAGCTGTCCACAGAGTTGATTCTGGCGCCCTGAAGGCGTCATATTCTTCACTCTTTCTGGTCACGGAAGCTATGAATCCCTATGAAGCATCCCCTTTTCCTTTGCTCTCAGATCCATTCGCAAGAACCGGCTCCGAAGTCGAGGCGCTGACTCAATCCGCCGCCTGAACGAACGCTTTGCGGTGCCCGTCGAGTCGAATGGGAAAGGAGCTGACCAACCTGCTCCGGGTGAAAGTAGATGACCGTTGTGATCCACATGACAATGAGACTTTGCAACAAGCGACTTGAACGCATTCCAGGACTCCCGACGACTGTCAAATGGCTTGTGCAGTGACCTTCTTTGAGCTGTTGGCCATTTGGCTTATAAATTTCTGGGGGTTCCTGGCTAAAAAAATGTCATTCTTCAAGAAACCGGTGCGCGGCTCAAGGAGCCGGATCCAACCATTGGCACTTCCAAGACTCGCCCATGGCCACAATGAACCGACTGGAAACGGCTCGTTCTTCTCCAGAAGGACACGGGACACTTGGATGCGCCGAACATCTGCGCAGTTTGGAGTTTGGGCAGACCCAACCCTGGCACGGTGACCCTGCAAACACGGCGGTCGAGCAATTTTGCGGGGCGCTACATGTGAGCCGCTGGCAATGTTTTCGGGAGCGTACTGTTGCCCAAATGTTCAGTGGCACCTTTTCCCCCCTTTCTGTTTGATACTGTAGGTTCCCAACGAGCTCCCTTTCTTTGAACAAAGGCTCATGTGCATTCAGCTAGGCTTGCAAAGCACCCAGCAATAGCACGCCCAGCCCTTCTCTTTTCCTGACAAGTACGAACCGTCTCCAACTTTCCAACCTGCTTGCACCCCAACACGAATGTTCGCAAAATTCGAGTGTGTCAAAAGCGGCTTGCTTCCGGCTCTCTCAAAAAACCCGAGGGGAAGCCCTCTACCCACCTCCAGCTGACCCAAAGAAACCGCCGAGGCGCTGCTTGTAAAAGGCCACCGTTCGCTTGCACGGCTCAAAGCTGAGGCAGGAGGACACCTCCAGGTCTTTGGTAAGGCCTGGCAGACCCGACACGGATTTTAGGGGAAGATGTTAGGAAACCCGCCAGGTCTGCGTGTGAAAAGCCCGTTTTCAGGCAGCCACCTGTGCAATAGGCAAGCTGGTTCATCGGTCGCTCGGTCGGTCTTGAGGAATGCCATCAAATATGGTTGGTTTCCCTTGAATGGCGAAGATAAAGAAGCGGGTCAAACCCCCCTGATTCCAATGTCAGGATCAACGGTTGAGCTTCATCCCACGGAACAACACAGTTAACAGGAGACTTGCCTCCACGCACTCCACGTGCAGGCGATTGCCGAAAGCAGGTTGGTGCACACGGTCTTCCGTCAGCAATTGCAAACTACTATCATGCAGGACCAAACTCGTCTCAGCAGTGTGATGTCGCGCTGCAAAGGCAGCCTGATAGACAACTCTGACATTCTGCAAACACTATGGCTGTCGACATGTTCCACAAGAGGGATGCATTACCGTCCCCCGATCTGCCTCGTGGCGGTGCGTGGGACAAGTGCGCCATCAGCTCCCACACTGGCCACCTGACGCCCGCAAATCCCGCAGCAAGGTGCGGAGCGCGGATGACCAACCTTGGTATCCATTCCAATTTCATGGGTGGGTGACCTTCACTTGCTATCCAAGACCAAAAAAGGGGCCTTGACCCAAAGGATCCAAATGCGTAAACATGTCCAGGAGGTGGCACTCGCTTGGGGATTGTTTGATGGGCCAAAGGGAGAAACAACCAAAAACAAAAGCCTGACTTAAGCAGAATCCCTTGATAACCAAACGGAAACCGCCTCCTGCATAAAAACAAAGCCCGCTGCCAAATTCCAGAGGTACCCGTTTTGGAGTTGCATTAAAGAGAAACCAACGGAACACAAGCCCCCGTCCAAAAACGCTGGCACCAAAAAAACACGCCGTGCAAACTCATGGGGGAGCATATCACTTTCAAGCGGGCACCTAAACCCATTTCCCATAATGAATCTGGGTGGGGCTCAAAACCCCCTGGAAGAGCCGTACGAACTTTTGAAGCAGGTGCTGTTCCCCAAAAATCCCCGCCATTTGTCAGGGCGGTCACGAGGAAAGGATCTCCCGCCTGCTGAAGACGGCCTGCGGGAAGGTCAAGCCCTGGATGGTGTCTTGCGCCTTGCTCACCGCCTAAGTCGGATCGTGAAGGGGGGAAGCCATGTGAGCCACGGTTCTCAAATTAGGAAGCTTTGCCACAAAGCGTAAAGGACACCTGGTTTTCTGCGGAGTTTAATGCGACGAGAAGGGGTCCCCTTCTCGTCCCATCATAGACTACCAAGCAGCTTGACCAAACCTCATGTCAGGTTTGGAGAGTTGTCGGTTTCCTTGCAAAACACCCCAACCCAAAGAGCCCCGGATTGAAACAACTCACTCATGGATTCGGTTGTCCCGCTTTTTTAATACAAGGGATTTGGGCATGTGTCAAAATAGGGAGATGCCCCATTTTGGGGTTCGGTTGATTTCCCTTGAAACCCTCTTGAAACCAACCCCTTGGTGGCTGCCTTTCAGAACACATCCAAGCTGGGTGTTCGGCTTCCCTTTGGTTTGCCTTTCGCAAACCAAACGGTACCAAGCCAAACACGAGTATGTTCCCCACCGTGAAATCGTGCTACTCAACGAAGGAAGACAGCAACCTGCCTTGCAAAATTCCTCAGGAACTCCTCTTTGGCGAACCTTTGGGAAAATCCTTTCGCCTGCGCTCGTTGAGACCTCCGTTCAACGAGCTAAAGGTTCGAGATCAAGCTGCGTCGCAACGCTGGGTTCTTTTCTGGGGCTTTTGGGTTGCGAGGCTCCAGGGAGCCACTTCTTCGCATCATCTAGTTGATCCAGCCCTGCGAAATTCCAAACAAGGCGCTTCCTGCAATGGGTGGGTTCCGACCCCTGGCTTTTGTGCCTGAAATTTGGTCATTCCCCCCATGTCCCTCCCAAATTAGTCTGAACTTGCGGGAATCCGGGAGTAGCCATGCCCATCTCCCATCGCGCAAACCAAATTCATAGTGCCTCGGGACTGAGAATCCTGACGTACGAAGGACTTTTAGACAAACCCCAAGCGAACATTCCGATGACATTCAGACCCAGGCCAACAAAACGAGTGCACACGTGCCAAGCTGTCGAAATTATGACTCCAACCTGCCATTTGGACCATGTTTGTTTTGAATTCACCTCCACCAGCTCTCCAAATATCAACTCTCCAAACATGTTCAAGCCGTTATTTGTTGACCCAAACTCCTTTAGCTTCCCCTTTCTCAGGAGCCCAAGATCTGCCAGTTCCCCCTTGGCGTCCCCCCTTGGCGTTTTGCTCGGTGGCCGCGCTAGCTGCTTCGGAATCAGGCCCGTCCAGGCGAGCGACAAGAGAGCTGCCGCCTCCGCCTCCCGAGAAAACTTTGCTCTGGATTGAATGCTTAAATGGGTTGCTCTTTTTGGGGTGGTGGCCCGTTTTTTTGGGGGGCGGTCAGTGGGTGTATCCTACTTTTGCGGGGTACCCCATTTTGGGGTTGGTTCAAAGGGGAACAAAAAGAACCAGCTCTAACGAGTGAAATGGGTTCGTTTTGGATGCTACACATGACTGTCCTTGGCGCCAGCGAGTTTGTTGGAACCAGTCAAATTGGTACATCGAGAACCCTTCGAGCAGCCACGTGGGCGGTGCTTTCATTCTGCAAACTGTTGCAGAATTCTGCGCGAGTCAGATCAAGAATGTGTGTCTGCAAGGAAACCCAAGAAGCTCTTCGTCACAGGGTTGGGCCAACTTCCTGGTTGAAAAAAAATGAAGCACATCTTGCTTGAACAACCTCCATTTGATTCGCGTTTAAAGGTTGTAAGGGCCTGGTTGTGCAAACAAACTTTGCCTCGCCCTGCTTTCTTGCTGATGCTGTGCTCCACCCCTCTTGCACTTTTGCTTGCTCTCCCCCCCCCACCCCGCCCTCCAAAGGGGTCCTCGACTTGAAAGGGCAGGGCGGTTGCAAATTGAAAAGAAAAAAGAAGAAGGCCAAAGCCATGGTTTCAAATCGACTCACCAGATTCACTGACCTATGATCCTTCTCCAAGATCTCCCGGCCTCTGCACAGGCCACTGCTGCTTGCTGGAAATACTCATGCGCGATCCCCGCCTCAGTGAACCAGAGGAGTGGAACCTGCTCAAATCAGCCTTAGTCCATATCTCAGCAAAACAAATTGTTCCCAAGACTGCAAATGATATCGCGATTTCTCTGCGAGATATACAAGTGCCTTGACCACGGCACATCAAGATGTAGGCAGAAGTCAGGTACCACCAGGTGTTCAAGCCGAATCCATTACATACTATGTCTATGCGTCGTGTGTTTGTTTTGTTTGCGTTGATAGCCCAGTGGCCCAACAAGCATCGAAAGCATTCCCTGATCAAGCTGCCTCCCTAGCCCCTCTTTTTCCCCTACTTCAGGAAATGGTCGATTGCTGTTTTGGGAAACACCTCCCAGTTCACCTCTATTGGCACTCCTCAAAAGCATAGGCTCCGGACGAGCTGCGTGGATGGACCACCGGCCCTCAAATCCGCCTGACAATTGGGTGCAAAGAATAATTCTGTGCACGGAGTGCTGGGTTTGGCAACACTGCGAATGATTGTCTGAGAAGCAGCCACCATATTGGGGGGGGGTCTTTCTTAAGGGGAAGGGACGCCATACGCAGGGGTACCTTCTTGTTTGGGTTAGTTTTGTAGGAAAACTAAAGCAAAGCCGCCATTTTGGGGATTGCCCTATTTTGAGACAAACCCATATCGGGCCACAGTCAACATAGCCATAGTTGGGGCCTCGCTGTCGTCCCAGCGTCATCCCCTAATGTTAACCCAGGATTAATAAACCCGTCCCATTAGGGGGGTGTTCCCTCCAAAAGTGGTCTGAATCCAACCACTAAAAGGAATCGGACACCCCCCTAATCATCAACCAGTTCTGCTTCATCCGGGGTTAACATTAATGCATACGTCGAGCAAAAAATGGACACCTTGCTCGATGGGCGACTCCGATGTCTCCCCTGCGAAGAGGGAATGCCCCGGAAAAAAAATGATTCGCCAGCGCAGATGACACGATGTCCTTTGTAGGAAAACGGCATGGCTAAACCGAAATTGGGCATATTCGGATTCGTGGCATCTATGTTCACCCAACTGGCTTTCTGTTGGTGAGAATCCCCAAAGCTGATCCAAGGTGTTTCTCATCAACGACTTCCTCTTGACTTTCCCTTTTTATTAGCAAAAGCGTCCACCATTTTGAGAAACCAAGTCTGAAAATGTGTGTTTATCATCAAGGATCCCTCCAGGTAGTTAGCTTCCTTTTAGTGTCGCCTTAGAACCCACCCCAAGGACGCCTTGCCCCCCGCCCCAAACCCCCCCCCCCCCCACAGTTTGAGAAACGCCCCCAAACACCTAAACATCAGTGCCTCCAGAGCCTCGTACAACGGCACGAGCACTTCCAAGGCCTCGACTTTCGAAAGCTTTCATATGGCTGTGGCTCAAAAATCTGGGACCCACCTTTTGGGCCCCTATGGAAACAAAGACCAGAACCTGTGGAACCCCTCTTCGATTTTGAGCCACAGCGATATGTTGGGTGCGAATCTCATTGGATCTTTCCAAATATTGAGGTTCACACTGTACACTCCTTTCAACACTCATGGAGTGGACAAGGGGCGGCTTCCATTGTTGGATTATCGTTTCCAAATCAATCGCTGGGTTTCTGTCTGTCGAGTAAAAACCAACAAGCCCCGAGCCTGGTCGTCCGGCACCTGCCTGACCATGGCATCCCCGGGAGTAGCAGGTGCTCCGGGCTCCTCATGTGGCTGCTTTTCGAACAACAAACAACATGACCCACACAAGGAGCTGTTACCAGCAGCAGGGCAGGCGGTGTTCAGCCTTCTTTTTTAGTGCTCCGACTGATGTTGCTTGCACAAAGGCGCCAGTTTTCGGCTGTTTAAAAAAGACCGGCCACATTCTGGGTCACTTCCCCAGGCCGATGGTTCTGCCATGTTCCCTCTGTGCATCGCACCTTTGTCGCTCTCGCCGCCACGCGGCTCGACTCGTTCCACGCGAACGCGGCGCGACCCGCGGACGACCCGCGCTCGCGGGTCGGAAGCGTTTTGGGACCTTCGGCGTCGGAGAGCGTCGGAGAGCGTCGAGGAAGGAAGCGTCGGGTGCCACGCGGCCAGCCGCCATCACCGGTCCATGACGCCGGAGTAGCTGCCGTCGTGGCCTCAGCAAGGAGATAAACAGAAGCAAGTCAAGGCCGACAGCTGGGGTCATAGATTCGAAGAGAAAGTGTTTTTTCATATCCAAGGCGCTGTGATCTTTGAGCTGCTGATGAAATGTGGTCATGTCACATTCCATCTCTGGCAAAGAGGAATTCCAATCCACAAAACTCACGGACATGGAATTCACCTGGGCCGAACGGATTCAGCCTGCGAAAAAAGGCCCCTGTCTGTTGGTTAAAGGAGGGAACGGTTTGGAAAACCAAAACAGGCCAAAAGTTGACAACTTCCTAAAGTGAAAACCGTTTGTTGGTTGAAAGGGAACAAGGAAAACTAACTGTTTGCTGGTTGAAAGCGAATAAGGAAAACCCAAAGGCAACAAAAAATAAACGACTAAAGGGGACACAAAGGAATACAAAAAAAGAAGAGCAAAACAAAAACTGTTGAACAAAAAAAACAAATGTGTGTGTTTTGCAGCAATGCCACGCAGTGCCTCTCTGCCGTGTCACCCCCCAGAGCATGTCCATCCATAAACACGTGACCCAGGTGTCCCCCGCAGGTTCGGCAAAGGATCTCCCGGCCCCCGGACACCCAGTCCACCTGCGCTCAAAGATCTCTGGTGTTGGCCCAAGCATAGGTGTCTTTTTTGGGAAAATAGATGGCCCTGGTAGTTGACTGAACCACCAGGTAAACCGAATCGCCCTCTGTTTTCAACCAAATCAGCCAAAAAGGGCACCTATGGGCCCAAGTTGTCCCTTAAACCCGTGGGGCCCCCTCCAATTGTCCATTGTCGTTCTTTTTGGGGAAACTTTCATGAAATTTGGTCCCTTGCTCGCCTGAGCCACTACGGACGCCCAGCTTTCGGCCTGCTCCAAGCCGAAGCATCGGCCGAAGGCCGGCCAGCCGCAGTTGGTCCTCATCTTGGAAGCCGCGGAGTACAAGGCCGTGCCGCATCCCGCGCACTGGAAGTGGCCCTTTTCCTTGCAAGGGATCGGCGGTATTTTTTCTGCTTCGTTTTGGTTGACTTCCGGCCAAACAGGGTCAGTTCGAGCACGGGCCTGTGATGAGCCGGGTGAAGCAGCCGCCCTTTTGGGTGAATTCAGCCCAGCTCGCTGGTGAAAACTCCAGCAATGGGGGGCATGCTCTCATGGGGAACCCCATAGTCGTCTAAAAGTGCGGGAAAGCCCATGACCAGCTCCCGGGCTGGCACCCTTTGGTGCGCTTGGCTACAGCCCCTGCAACAACCTCCCCTGCGGCCAGCTGCCAAGAGGAAAGCGTGATCCTCCCATAAGCTAGTGATTAAAGGAATCCCCTAGGCGGCCAAAGAGCGACAAGGTGCTCCCCTGTTTGTGGTTTAGTTTGCAGGGGAGTCAGTCGCACCAAAAGGTCACAGGTCCCTTAAGGTGAACATAAACATTCCAAAGCCTTTCGGCACCCGACTGGACACCTCCGGGAAGAAAAAAAGAAAGAAAGAACAAAAAAAAGATCCAAGTCTCCGGGTGGAAGGCGTTGTACCGCCCCGAGCCCCGAGGCTCCGTGGTCTTCTTCCGCAGCACCTCGAAGACCTCGGGGCTCAGGTCCTCCTCCCAGCTCTCCTCCTCGACCAGAGGACGTACCGGGGTTCCGGGAACTTGGTCGACGTTGGAAGGGGAGCAAAAATTTAAATTTTAGCAGTTCAGTGGGAAACAATAAGCAAAAATTTAAAAAAAAAAAAAAATATATTTAAAAAAAAAAAAAAAAAAAAAAAAAAAAAAAAACCATGGAAAGGGGAAGAAAACAGGCCCCGAGGACCGATGTGCGAGCCGATGGCTATCCAAATCTTCGGCTCGTTTCTTCAGCCTCGAGTCACGATTGGTGGATTTGTTCCGCAAGCCAAAGCGTTGATGGGCTTTGGTTTGCTTCATTGCTTGGGGGGGGACTTGGGTGAGTTTTAACGGGAAATTGGCCTCCCCGGAAATTGGAATGGGAAACTTGGTGGCCCTCATCCGCTCCGTATCATCGGAGCCCCAAAGCCAAATGCTTTCTGCCCCTCGTGGGAACAAGTGTTTCCCACCCCTCACAGGGTTCCCCCGAAGAACCTGCAAAAAAGAACAAGGTTTGTGGGTTCGCCTGGGGTGCTAAACAGTTGATGGTTTTGTTCGTACGTTGCTCCCTCGGATTTTGACCGGGAGGTTGGTCCCGTCTTTCCTTCTGAGTCAGCTCTCTTCTGGTCAACGTGTGCGTCTCGGATTTTGACCGGCCCTCGGCTGCAATTGACACACCCAAACTTCGACCAAGTTTCTCCTCCCTCGGCTGCAGAGGCCAGGCGACCGCCGGCTCCAGCAGGGCACGGCCGCCCAAGCGCAGGCTCACCCAGCCCAGATCCGGCCCCACACCCAGGACCTGCCAGCGGAAAAGAGCTGCCGTGGGTTTGTATTGTTTCTTTTTTATTTTATAATAAGAAGAAGAAAAAAAGAAGAACAAAAAAGGTTGTTTTAATGTTCCCAAGGGAATCCACAATCTACGACCACCTGCGCGGGGGACTGTTTACCTGCCGCGAAAAGCGGGTTCTTGGACGTTTTGAACCTACGAAATCATGTCATCGCGTCAACGAACCATCTTCCCTGACACGTGCACAAGGCCGGATCGATTCGAGCCGGGGGAGACCGAACCGACGCCAAGGAAAAACCACCCTGGCAACATGTGGAGGAAAAAAACAACGCCAAAGGGCCGGTTAAGCTGGGTGGTTGCTTCGTGGTTCAAAACCATACCCTTCCTGCGAGACAAATAGCAACTCACGGGTCAACAAAAGTAGCCCAAGACCCACAGACCGCATGCCCATGCCTGGCGCCTAAAGGGAGCAGGAGAAACCGAACCTGTTGTGAGTTGGGGTGGGTGGGTCCTAAATTGAGAATTCTGTTGGCAGGTGTTGCTCAAAGGCAGCTGATTGCCAAACCGATTTGACGGGGCGAACACCTGTTTGAGTGTCTCACAATGAGATCCCCCAAAATGGTAAGGGTCTCGTTTTCAATTCCCCTTCAACTCAACCAACAGGGGTGTCGCAAAAATCACACTCTTCCTTGCTCAACCCGCCTGTTTGGAAACCTCCTTCTTTATGGCATTCTTTTGGAGAAAACGGGGCAATACCCAGATAGTCTCCGGGTGCGTCACACTCAAACCTGGTACCAGACTCAGTACGGGGTCTAGCCAGAACTATGGTCAAAAAGGGCGAAACTCTGTACGGATTCAGTGACTTACCCGAGTTTTGAGCGCAAGCTCGAGTGTGTCCATGGCCCCCCACCTTCTGATTTCCCTTTAAAACAACCCAAACAAGGGTACCAACCCAACAAACATCAAGTTCACATATCCACCGCTCACTTTTGGCTGCGTCCATACAGGTGCGTCTTTTTTGGGCACCAACTTACCAACCACACCTGGTTGCCTCCACCATGCTTTTCCGGTAAAAATCCGTACACCCGGCCAATGACCCACCTTCCGGTACCGCAGGCGACAGCTTCTCCTCGCCAGCTCCTCCACCAGCGCTCCGTGCCGCAGGCGCCCCAGCTCCGAGCTGCCCAGGGCCTCGCCCGAGCGCACCAGGAGCCCACCCGTCGCCTGGAAAAAGCGAACTGACACGACCGGTGGCAACATGGCTGTGGGTCAAAATGTGGAAAACCCCAAAATGGCTTGCCCGGGTAAATGGAAACTTGGACTACGACCCTACAACCTGCGGTCCCCTGGTGGTTTAATTTGGACCCGCACCCACGTCTGTGAAACAAAAAGGACAACTGGCTTGGTTCCATGGGATGAAACGGCCAGTTGCCAAGAATCGGCTTTTCTCAGGTGAACCAAGAGTAGTGTACACGACAAACATGGTCGCGGTGTCAATGGTTCAACTCTCCAGTCGCCTCCCCGCCAGTCACTTTCCACATGCGAAGCGCATCATCCCAAGCGGGAGGCGCTTGGAACGCCAGCAGCTTTGAGCCGAAAACGCGCTGAAGCATCCGGCAAACTCCGGTTACGCCTCGACGCCGACAGCCGGGGTGAGAGTAGATAGCACCATCCCCTTCTCGGGAAGCAAAGGGAATGAACAAACGAACATTTGGGAGTAGTGCCACCTACTTTCACCCAACTCTACCCAAAAACCCTCGGCCCTTCAGCCAAACACTCTTGGGGTCCCGTCCTGCACGCCGCACCACGCGCTGGAGACGTCTACCAGCAGCTTCATGGCAGTTGGCACGGAGCCTGCAGCAATTGTCGGTACCAAGTTGGGCCATCCAAACTTGGCAACCAAAATCAAAATGGGGGTTGATCAATGTTCCATTTAGGGCCCGCAAATGACCGGGGGTTAACTTTTTGGTGGTTTCCCGGATGCTCATCCCATGAAAAGGACCTATTGATCAACCCCCAAATACCAAAGCACTTGACTCCTATGACTACTCCTTCACTCAAAAGGGGAGCTTCCTTGGCAGCACGGTAAGTGCTACTCAAAACCTAGGTGATACTCAAAACCAAAATTATCCCTCAAGCATGGCGCTGCATTGGCCCATTGCCCCCACGGCTCTGAACCTTGTGACTCGCCTTGGATGAGCTCTTGAGAGGTCTGGCTAAGTGGGGATAGACGCTCTTGCCGGCGGACAAAAATTGCCCGCGAGGGCGCGTTTTTGGCGGCTCCTCCATGTTGGCCGGCAGGGTGGGGTGTGGGGGGGGGGGGGGTGGGGGGGGGGGGGTGGCAGGGAAGAATGAGTCCTATGCGTCGCCGCGCGTTTTTTTGCATTTGAGCACCACTTCATGTTACATGCTCATGCACTCACACGCACACCAAAACTCTATTCCCACATGGTGCTACAGAGATAATATGCGCTTACCATGCACAAGGATACTGCTGAATAAATAGACACTTGGTTCAAACATGTGTGTTATTTTCTCGTGTGCATGTTTCAATTTCAATTTCATGACCAGCAAAAGAAATGCAAGCACGCAGCTAAGTAATATTGTCCGTGGCCTAACACAGGGCACAGGCGTGCAGCTAGGTTCGATGTCAGGAGACTGACAAAGGCCACAGGAGTCCTGTTTGCTAAGTATTCTACTTATCATCAGTCTTCGAATTCATTCTTATCATTCTTCCCAAAGGGACGGGTGACTTTTGGGGAATTCAAATATTGATTGTTTTAATCATTTTATTTCTTAGACTTGCTCTAAGTATTCGAACCACTGCCAAAGGGACGGGTGCCTTTTTTGGAATTCAAGAGTCCTCTGCGCTAACTGTTCTACTTATCATCAGTCTTCCAATTGTAATTGTTATTCCCAAAGGGACGGTGCCTTTGGGGAATTGAAGATTGTTTTTGCAAATTCGCCTCGGCCCCAAAGGGGCCAAGGGCGCTCAGATCTCTTCTCCAAAGAGAATCTTCGCTTTTCCCCTCCCCAACCCCCAACCAAAATTTTGCCCCCGCCCCCCCCAACCCATGTCGGCTGGCCCAAAAATCCTGTCCGGCGGGCCTTGAAATTTTCGGGGTTCGTCGGCGTCCAGCTCCATGGTCGAAAATGTGCTGACAATCACTGAAAAATTGCTTTTTTGTCCTCCTCCTGCTGGCCAGGCCTGTCTGACGTGTCTGAGACTGGGCTCAGGCCCAGCCCAACCAGCAACCCGCCTGCTGGCCAGGCCAGTCAGCCCAGCCTCAGGCCCAAGCTTGTCTGAAACAGGCCTAGCCCAAGCAACCCCCAGCAAACCCAGCCCAGCCTAGGCCCCGGCGCATCTCAGAGCATGCCAGCCACTCCGGCCCCCAGCGTGCCAAGGTCAGGTTTGTCTGAGAGTCTGAGACTGGTCTCAAAGTATGCCAGCCTGAGACTAGCCTCAGGCCCAGTCCCTCAGCCCGCCTACTGGCGTGTCTTACGTGTCTGCGACTGGCCTCAGGCCCAGCCCAGCCAGCAACTTGCCACCCAGCCTCAGGCCCAAGTGTGTATAAAACAGGCCTTGCCCATCCAGCAACCGCCCAGCCCAAGTTCCAGGCGCAACCAGCGGCTGCCCAACCCACCCATGGCTTCGCAGCCTTGTGGCTGAGACTAGCTTCAGGCCCAGCCCAACCAGCAACCCACCCAGCCCAGGCCCGGCGCATCTCAGGGCATGCCAGTGACCAGGCCGGCCCCCAGCAGGCTCAGCTCAGCGTGCCAAGGTCAGGTTTGTCTAACTGGCCCCAGGCCAACGACCAGTCTTACGTGTCTGAGATTGGTCTCAAGCTACACCAGCTACTATGCCTGGCTGACGTGCCCCAGCCCCTCAGTCCGGCTGCCCAAGCAGCTCAGCCCTGCCACAGGCCTTGACCTCCTGTTCGCGTCTGGCCCCAAGTCATCCAGCAGGCCCAGCCCCTTCGGCGCAGTCTGAGACTGGTAGCCTGAGACTAGGCTTAGGCCCAGTCCCTCAGCCCGCTTGCTGGCGTGTCTTACGTGTCTGCGACTGGCCTTAGGCCCAGCCCAGCCAGCAACTCGCCACCCAGCCTCAGGCCCAAGTGTGTATGAAACAGGCCCTTGCCCATCCAGCAACCCGCCCAAGCACAGCTCAGCTCAGCCCGCCCAGCCCAAGTTCCAGGCGCAACCAGCAGCGTAGTCCGGCAGCCAGCAATTCATGCATGGCTTTGCAGCCTAGGCTCAGCCCAGCGTGCCAGGTCAGGTTTGTCTAACGTGTCTGAGACTGGCCTCAGGCCAACGACCAGTCTCACGTGTCTGAGACTGGTCCCAAGCTATGCCAGCTACTGAGCCTGTCTGCCGTGGCAACTCGCTACCCAACCTCAGGCCCAAGTGTGTATGAGACAGGCCTTGCCCATCCAGCGACCCGCCCAAGCACAGCTCAGCCCAGCCCGCCCAGCCGAAGTTCCAGGCGCAACCAACAGCGTAGTCCGGCTGCCCAGCAGCCAGCAACTAAGACTAGCTTCAGGCCCAGCCCAACCAGCAACCCGCCTAAGCAAACCTCACCCAAGCCTACCCTGTTTCAGACTCGCAGGCCTCAGCCTATCTAGCGCCGAGACTGGGCCTCACCAGCCTGGGCTCAACTAGCGTCTAGCCCTGCCCAGTCCGCCTGCTGGCCAGGCCTGTCTGACGTGTCTGAAACTGGCCTCAGGCCCGGCCCAGCCCAGCCATAGCCCAGCCCCCTCAGTGCGGCTGCCCAGCCCGCCGTAAACTAGCTTCAGGCCCAGCTCAACCAACAACCCACGCAAGCAAGGACCAGCCAAGCTGCCCAAGACTGTCCGAGCAGGACGGCTTCCGAACATCGAACTAGCACGGGCGAACTGGTGCGGTCACAAGCTTTCAGTAGGATTCGGACCTTCCCAACACTGGATTTCGGTGTTCCTGACCCTTCCCTCAAACTAGGCTGGGCCGAGGCGGGCAACGCGAAGCGTTTACAATTATACTACTTAGCAAACCTCTTGTAATTGTTTTTGTCATGAGTTCCAAAGGGATGACTTTGGGGAATTCAATATTCATGTTTGCTGGTTGCTTTTGTAAACTATTCTACTTATCATTACTCTTCTAATGCATTCTTATCATTCTTCCCAAAGGGACACGTGACTTTTAGGGAATTCCAAATTCATGTTTGTTCTAATCAGTTCATTTCTTAGACTTTCTCTAAGTATTCGAACCACTGCGAAAGGGACGGGTGCCTTTTTGGGAATTCAAGAGTCCTCTGTGCTAATTGTTCTACTTATCATCAGTCTTGAAATTATAATTGTTTTCCCACAGGGACGGGTGCCTTTGGGGAATTGCAGATTGGTTTTGCAAATTATACTACTTAGCATACCTCTTCCAACTAGTTTTCTCATGAGTTCCAAAGTGATGACTTTGGGGAATTCAATATTCATGTTTGCTGGTCGTTGTTGAAAATTATTCTACTTATCATAACTCTTCTAATTCATTCTTACCATTCTGCCCAAAGGGACGGGTGACTTTTGGGGAATTCAAATATTGTTTGTTCTAATCAGTTCATTTCTTAGACTTGCTTTAAGTATTCGAACCACTGCGAAAGGGACGGGTGCCTTTTTGGGAATTCAAGAGTCCTCTGTGCTAATTGTTCTACTTATCATCAGTCTTCTAATTATAATTGTTTTTCCCAAAGGGACGGGCGCCTTTGGGGAATTGCAGATTGGTTTTGCAAATTATACTACTTAGCATACCTCTTCCAACTAGTTTTCTCATGAGTTCCAAAGTGATGACTTTGGGGAATTCAATATTCATGTTTGCTGGTCGTTATTGAAAATTATTCTACTTATCATAACTCTTCTAATTCATTCTTACCATTCTTCCCAAAGGGACGGGTGACTTTTGGGGAATTCAAATATTGTTTGTTTTAATCATTTTATTTCTTAGACTTGCTCTAAGTATTCGAACCACTGCCAAAGGGACGGGTGCCTTTTTTGGAATTCAAGAGTCCTCTGAGCTAACTGTTCTACTTATCATCAGTCTTCCAATTGTAATTGTTATTCCCAAAGGGACGGTGCCTTTGGGGAATTGAAGATTGTTTTTGCAAATTATACTACTTAGCATGCATCTTCTATCTTTTCTTCATGAGTTCCAAAGTGGGACGGGTGACTTGGGAAATTCAGTATTCATGTTTGCTGGTTGTTTTTGTAGATTATTCTACTTATCACTCCTCTTCTAATTCATTCTTATCACTCTTCCCCAGGGGGGGATTCAAAATTCTCTTTTGTTCTAATCATTTTTTCTTAGACTTGCTCTAAGTCTTCGAACCACTGGCAAAGGGACGGGTGCCTGCTTTGTTATTCCCAAAGGGACGGGTTCCTTTGGGGAATTGAAGATTGGTTTTGCAAATTATACTACTTAGCATACCTCTTCCAACTAGTTTTCTCATGAGTTCCAAAGGGGTGACTTTGGGGAATTCAATATTCATGTTTGCTGGTTGTTTTTGTAAAGTATTCTACTTATCAGAACTCTTCTAATTCATTCTTATCATTCTTCCCAAAGGGACGGGTGACTTTTGGGGAATTCCAGTTATTGTTTGTTCTAATCATGTATTTCTTAGACTTGCTCTAAGTCTTCGAACCACTCCCAAAGGGACGGGTGCCTTTTTGGGAATTCAAGAGCCCTCTGTGCTAACTGTTCTACTTAACATCAGGCTTCCAATTATAATTGTTATTCCCAAAGGGACGGGCGCCTTTGGGGAATTGAAGATTGTGTTTGCAAATTATACTACTTAGCATACCTCTTCCAACTAGTTTTCTCATGAGTTCCAAAGG